GGGAGGGGGGCGGGGGGGAGGGGGGGGAAGACTTAGGGTTAGTTAGAACTAATTAAAGCAAAGGCAAGACAAGCAAAACCCTTCCCTTCTTGTGTGCTCTGACTGAACCTGACTGGGGCTGTGGGTAGCCAGAGGGAGCTGGAAACCTTGCAGCTCTCTGTACAAGTCCTCTCTCTCTCTCGCTCGCTGTAAACGCACCACAGCCTCCGGTGCTTCTGCTGTTGGAGACACAATTAGCTTTGTTCTTAAAGCTAACTCAGGTCTTGGTCTAAAGTGTAGGTAGGGGGTCGGTTTGGTTTTAAAGACACATATTGCTGTATGTTTTTCAAAGCAGAACCTGGATCTTAATGTGGTAGAAAAAATCACTGGAAATCTTGCCAATTATTGCTGAACGATAAAGGGGCAAAGTTAAAATTACTTAAGATTTTTTGGGAAAGGATGCCCAAAAGCTTATACTTGGAATATTACTTTGTTGTCTTGCTCTTATGTTAGCCGTCTCTCTGCAGTTCCAGATCTGTTCTGCTGTCTTACTGCTACTACAGCTGAAGCAAGAAAGTGGGTCCTTTCTGGTTTCGTGTTACTGTTCAGGAGCTTCAACTCTAGCTGGTATTTTTCCCTCGAGGCTGCAGAAACGCAGAGACTCGTGCCCGTTGTTTTAGTGCTGGCAAGCACAGCTGTGACCCTTCCTAGATGAAATTTTGGTTTACCCAAGCTATCAGGTTTTAGGAAACCAGGAAATTTAAATGTAGCCCTCCAGAAGTGAGGTTGACCTTTTCCTCCTGTTTTCTGTCCCCATTCCCACTTGCTTTGTGTTACTTTCTGTTTGAAATGGGAGGGAGTCAATACATGGACCGCCCATTCAAGTTTTTGGAGGGTCGGTGTGTTTTGGGGTGCTGGTTTTATTTTTCCCGATTCTTCAGCAGTATTGTCTTAAGAGTTGTATACAGCTGTCATGGCGATGTTGTGCTAGCAGATGTCCCGCGTGGGGACAGCCCAAAGCTACCTAAGCCGAGCAGGGCAGGAACAAAAGTGCCTCCGGCCACCCTGAGTGGGCATCTGGCAGAGCTGTGGCTGATAGAAAGCTAACGAACCCTGGAGGTTGGAGAAAATGTGACGAAGCTAAAAAGCCGCCCGCAGATGTTTTTCGGAGCTGCCCTCTCACGGGCAGCTGGGTGGGGGCCCGGCAGCCAGCCAAGGTCGGCCCAGCGCAGGCGCTGGAGGAGTTCCTTTGGTAGCGCTCGTTCAGAGTCAGCCTGTGGCTCTGTCTTGGGGGCAGATGAAACTCGTTGGAGATGAACCTGTAAGAGACCGGGTGCTTTGCTACACGAGTCTCACGGGCACAGTCCTGTGCCTCAAAGAGTGGTAAAAACCCCCTCAGCAACCCGAATGTGGCAGCCCAAGCTGTGAAGGGGCACTCCCCCGGTGCGTGGGGAAGCCCAGGGGCTGCCAGCTTCTGGCTACGGGAGGTGCCGGGGCTGTGGCGGCTGCGTGGCTGCAGTGCGTCCCGTGTCACAAAGGGGCAGTGGTGCAGCACCCACTCAGCAATTGTGACGTCACCTGGCCAGGACCTGGTACCCGAAAAGCGGGCTGGGGAAGTCCAGTTGGGCTGAGCTGGCCTTCGGGAGAACTTGGCTCCTTCCTTTGGTACCCGAGTGCCTCCTTTTTTCCAGGCATTTCTCCGTTTACTTCCCATTTCTCTCAGCTTCCACCCTCTGCCAAAGGTAATTGTGATTTGACTTTCAGGACAGATCGTGAGTGTAGGTAGCTGGGGCTAAAAGGGCCTTTGGAATTGCTGTCAGCCGGAGTCCTGTGACAGGGACAGCAGGGCCATCAGCCTGCAGCTCGGCAGCAGTTACAAGTACCACTGAAACACTTTGGGTGGCGGCTGCTGTTCTGTGGGTTGCGTTTGAGGGGTTTTAACCATTTTGATGATCTGCGATTATTTCGGGGGGATCGGGGATTTGCGCTGATCTTCTCTTTCGGGAGAGCACCCTGACACCCTTTGCCATCCAAAGCGTCTCGCTCTGTTCCCAAGAGGAGCGATGGCCACAATGGGGCACGACTCCCGGGAGTAACGGCTTCCCCAGCAGGTTTGGCAACAGACGTGGCTGGTGCTCCACCCTGGAGTGCTGATGTGCTGACAAGCTAGAGTGAATTCTGGGGCCTCTCCTGATCGCAGCCAGACTGACCCAGGTGTTTTCAAGGAAACAGGAAAATGTGTCTCCTCACTCCTCGGCCACTAGTACAAGCCTTTGAAAGGTGTCATTGCTCTTAGAAAGATCTGGCCTCAGCGGGGTCACCTTCTGGGCTAGATACTTGCTTGTTTTCGCCACCTCACTATCAGGAAGAGGGAACACTTGAGCTGAGAATCCAATTCCAGACTCCAGAGGGAAGGGAAGGTAGCCCGAGGCACAGAAATCAGGGCATGGGTTTGTTGGACTTTTGGCAAAGAAAGCAGGGGAACAGGTGATGTTCCCAACTGTTCCTTGTCCCGTACATGTCAATGGCAGCTTCCGGCGATGTTTCTGGGCTGGATGTAGAGCTGGTTGTACTGAGAGCTCCTGTAAAGAACTCGACTTTTCAGTAGGCTTTCAGGCAAGCATATGGTGTCATCTCTTTTCAAATGTCCTTTCCTTGCAGTCCTTGCCGAGGAAATGGCTCTGCCACAAAGGATCCCCATTGTCCCAGCGACGATTTGCATGGAATGGCAGCAGCGGCAGGGGCCTGGAGCGGGACTGCACAACCTGGGCAATACGTGCTTCCTCAACTCCGTCCTGCAGTGCCTGACGTACACGCCCCCTCTGGCCAACTACCTGCTCTCTCGGGAGCACAGCCAGTCATGTGAGTGCTTTTAGGAACATGTCCCCGCAAATCTGTTGGGCACTTCCCAGGGATTCCCAGAATCTGGGATCTGATTTAGCAGAAAACCGGCCCTTCTTTCTCAACCCCCGCAGTGGGTGTGCTTTGAACGCTCAAGCCTCGAAGCCGCTTGTTCATGCCTTCAGAAAGGCACACCTCTACCTGGCCCTGGGTCTTGGTCCCCGTTCCTGCATATTAAACGCTCTTTGCTTATGGCACAGAAAGGTTTTGACAGTTTACTGTGCCTCTGAAGAACGTTCTCGACACACTAGAGTCTCCCGGGTTTGTTGGGACATTGGCACCTTGGGAGAAGAGGGTGGAGGCTGTTCTTACAACGTCAAGATCTCCCTTAGGTTTCCTATCGCTGGCTATGGGTGTGTTGCTAACCTGAGAACCTTCCCTCCCTCCCTCCCTCCCTCTTCAGGTCGTTGGCAAGGCTTCTGCGTCATGTGCAGTATGGAAAAGCACGTTCACAAGGTCCTGCATTCCTCAGGCAGTGCCATCGAGCCTTGGGCTATCATCAGTGTTCTCAGACGTAAGTCATTTCAGGGGCTTTTACAAGGTTTGTTTCCATTCTTGTAGGAGAGAACTACTAACTTCTTCTTTCACAGGAATAGGAGAACACTTTGAGCCTGGCATGCGGGAAGATGCCCATGAATTCTTACGCTGCACTGTCGATGCCATGCAGAGAGATTGTCTGAGCAAGTAAGTACAAGCAAATCACCTTTTCAGTATTCCCGAGCCCTTGGGACACCTTGATGCACTCCCATCAAGGAAGCCCTATGCCCAGAGCTTACAGTCAGAGCAAAACTCTTGGAGGAGCTAACTCTCTGCCTTACCATTGATTTCCAGCCTGGACTTTGCTTCGCCATCAGATACCGTTGTCCAGCAAATATTTGGGGGCTTTCTGAGATCCAGAGGTACTTTTCCACAACTATTGCTCTTCCTTGGGATTGTCTGTGTCCTTCTGTCTGCCTCTGATAAACAGCTGGTGGTGTGACTGGCATAGTAGCTCTGAAGGACGTAAACGGGCACAGTCAGTTGCCTTTGCCTATCGCTGAGCATTTCCATTTGCCTTCCAGTCACGTGCTGGAGCTGCAGCGCGGTTTCCGATTCCTACGAGACCTTCCTGGATATTCCTTTGGATATAGAAGTAAGAGGGTTTGCAACTTTGCTTCAAGACGTCCCAAGGCCCTTGTAGCTTTCCAGAATCAATAGAGTTGACTTAGAAGCGTATGCTGCGAACACCAGAGAGCCTGGTGGTGGGTGGGATGTGGGATGGACGGTGTCCTCCTGGGAAGGCTGCGGCAGTGCTCTCCCTGGAGGTGCTGGCCTTAAGCTGAACAAGTCCTCACTTCCCTCCCTGCACCCTTGATATAGTCTCAGCCTTCCCTTTGCCCTCCCTCAACACCCGTCCGGCTCCTAGGCTGGTGGGTTGTGTTGTTTTTGTGACTGATGACCCTGCACACCACCGGCAGCTCAACGGAGCGGTGGCGCAGAGATGTAGCTCTTGGTAGCCCTGGGGATCCCTGGGAAATGAGGGGAATGTCGAGCATAATACCCTTGTTCTGCCTCCTCCTGGACGCTGCTTGAGCATCATCTAGCTGGGGTTTTGTGTGAACTCCTAGTCAGTGTTTGGGCGAAGGTATCTCCCGCAGCTCAGCGCTCTCCTTTCTCACTCCTCCAGGCAGCCTCATCTGTCAGCGCAGCTCTGAAGGACTTTGTGAAACCCGAGAGGCTGGGCGGCACAAACTGCTATAAATGTAGCAGGTAGGACGACTACTAGCGACATACTAGTGCTAGATCGTGCGTGCAGGCGCTGCATGTCATCTCTCATAGGTCATCTTTTCACACAGGTTTAATGCACCGTAATGAGACGCAGCTTTTTTTCTGATATGGCCTTATGGCACTGCACAGCCTTAAAATAGTGTGAGGATGTGTGAGCCAGGAAAGCTTGTCTGGCCTTCTTGGGGCAAGACGGGGTGCATCTCAGCACGTGGCTCTGTGCTTGCTTTCCAGGTGCAAAGAGATGGTGACCGCCTCCAAGAGGTTTACAGTCCACTGCACGCCCAAGGTTCTCACGCTGTGTCTGAAAAGATTTGACATTTTCACTGGAAGGAAGATCAGCAAGGTGTGTAGGCACTTGGAATGCCACTTTCTCTTCCTTCTGCAGAGCAGGAGATTTCCCAAGGGAGCGTGCTTTTTGCCAAGTGTTTCGTGCGGAGTTCTTCCTGTTTCCTTCCGGGGAGAGGAGAGTTCCCGTGGGAAGACAAGCACGTACTCTGCTCCGACAGAGCTGCTCCTGCCACCCAGAGCATGACACGTTGCTTTAGGGAACACCAAGTGTTTGTGAGCCCCAGAGATGTGTTTGTACACCTCTGGGCGCTGGTCTTGGAAGGTTATTTCCTGCAGTATTTCAGCATCATGTCTGAGCCCTGCTGGTCTCTCCGTAGGTGGTGGAGTATCCCGAGACCTTGGATCTTCGCCCATACATGTCTGAGACAGGCGGAGAACCGCTCCTCTACTCCTTATATGCTGTCCTGGTACACGGCGGTGACGGCTGTCACACAGGACACTACCACTGCTATGCAAAGGTAAAGAGCAGCTTCCTTCCAAACGAGGGAAGAGCGTGTGCTGGGGAAGACAAATGTTCATGGCAGTGTTACTGGCAGCCAGGGTTGTGGGGGAGAAGGTCTCCTTAGGGGCTGGATTGGATTTGTTCTGATGGACTCTTGGCTCTGTCGTTTTCTGCCTGTGTTTTTGTTGAAAAAGAGGCGGTTTGTCTCCAGATATTGATGCCTTTTTTACAGGCCAGCGATGGGCTCTGGTATATGATGGACGATACGTTTGTGGGGAGTTGTGACATCGAGACAGTCCTCAGTCGGCAAGCCTATTTACTGTTTTATGTCAGGTAAAAACAAGTCTTCAAATGTGCTTGGAATACATCTCCTTTTCCTGGCTTGGATTTTTTTCTTCTCCTCCTCTTTCTTTCTCTTCCTGTGTTTCTGCTATGGGAGACCATTACTTCCTGCACCCTTCAGCGCTGTCAAGCCCGATCTACCCCCCCATCAGTCCTTCTCTCTCCTTGCTGGGCTTGAGGTTGCTGCCCTGGTGTAAACTGCTACTTGCCTGCTATCTGAAGCTGGCTAATGTAGAGAAGTGTGCTTAAAGGGGGCCTACAGGAAAGACGGGAGGGACTCTTTGTCAGGGGGTGTAGGGATAGGATGAGGGGTAACAATTTTAAACTGGAAGAGGGTAGATTTAGATCAGATCTAAGGAAGAAATTCTTTACTGTGATGGTTGTGAGACACTGGAAGCGGTTGTCTGGAGAGCTTGTGGCTGCCCGCTCCCTGGAAGTGTTGAAGGCCCCGATGGACGGGGCTTTG